CAATATCGTATTTGTATGCATCCATCCTCGTGTGTATGCATCCATCCGCGTGTTTGTGCATCCATCCGCGTGTGTGTGCATCCATGCTCGTGTGTGTGCATCCATGCTCGTGTGTGTGCATCCATGCTCGTGTGTGTGCATCCATGCTCGTGTGTGTGCGTGCATCCATGCTCGTGTGTGTGCATCCATGCTCGTGTGTAGACTTGAGCATTTTACCCGGTCGGGTCGCGGGTACCCGACCCGACCCGACATTTTGGCCGGGTCGGGTAATAGGATTTTGGCGAATTACCCGGCCGGGTCGGGTCGGGTACCCGACCCGACCCGACATTTTGGCCGGGTCGGGTAATAGGATTTTGGCGAATTACCCGGCCGGGTCGGGTCGGGTACTCGGGCCGGGTAATGCATACCCGTTACCCGAGAATTACCCGAAATGTCGGGTAATTTATTACCCGTCGGGTCGCGGGTACCCGACCCGACTTTGGGTTTGTTACTCTGTGTTTGCTGAATTTTACAGCCACCTAGGGGTACCCGGGTAATATTACCCGACTTCAATTAAATGCGGGTCGGGTATACCCGACCCGACAGACGGGTACCCAATTACCCGGTATTAAAATGTCGGGTCGGGTAACAGACCTCCAAACATTACCCGGAAATTACCCGACCCGACCCGACCCGGACCCGATTGCGGGTAGGGCAAAACCGGGTCGGGTCGGGTAATTACCCGGTTTTGCTCATGTCTACTCGTGTGTGTGCATCCATGCTCGTGTGTGTGCATCCATGCTCGTGTGTGTGCATCCATGCTCGTGTGTGTGCATCCATCCGCGTGTGTGTGCATCCCATCCGCGTGTGTGTGCATCCATCCGCGTGTGTGTGCATCCATCCGCGTGTGTGTGCATCCATCCGCGTGTGTGTGCATCCATCCGCGTGTGTGTGTGCATCCATCCGCGTGTGTGTGCATCCATCCGCGTGTGTGTGCATCCATCCGCGTGTGTGTGCATCCATGCTCGTGTGTGTGCATCCATCCGCGTGTGTGTGCATCCATCCGCGTGTGTGTGCATCCATCCGCGTGTGTGTGCAACCATCTATGCACCTACGTCCAACCATGCATCCATCCATTTCTTTCTGTCCTTCACCCGCTCCTCATCCCCCTCCCCTGCATATTGCTCCTCAATCTGCACGAGCTTCTCTTGCTCCCCCCTCCCCCCCTCCCCACTTCCCTTCATTCATCCCCCTGTCCGTTTATCTTCCCGTTTTCGTCCTTCCCTCCCTCCCTCCCTCGCGCACTCCACCTACCGCCCCGCCATACCATCGGTGTAATCTACAGGTTGTGGTGGCCATCAACCCTCTTGCCTGGCCTCGCTCCGAGGTCATTCGATTCCCAGTACGCTTCTGTTGCTTCTGAACTCTCACACTACTCGCCCCCCCTCTGTTTTTGGATCTCACTGGTATGCTTAAGCAGAGGCCAAGTATATTCCGTTTGTCTGCTCCCTCACCTGATACATGTAGCTCACTTGTAACGACTGATGCACGAATCCACTGGTTCGCACACCTGCTTACACCGGCCATGCAAGTTCTATTATCAAATGTTCAAGGAAGCACTCCTTGCTGCCTCCACTCGCTCCACCTGCATCCCTGCTGACACATTCTCATCCTCTTTCCTCTCTGTTGAACACCTGGTGGCATCCCCCAACCTCCTAGTAACCAACGCTTCTGGCACGCCGCCCTTCCCCTCTCAAGTGCTTAGGGAGACCCTCCTCTCCCCCACCACCTTTGCCACCTGCATCGCTGCTTACACTCTTTCTTCCTTCCCTATGCGTTCGTGAACAGGTTTCATCCCCCAACCTCCTAGTCACCGACGCCTCTGGCTCCCCCATCCCCTCTCAAGTGCTCAGGGAGACACTCCTCTCCCCCACCACCCGTGCCACCTACATCGCTGCTTACACGGGCACGGGGGGCACGGGAGGGGAGGAAGTAGGGGAGGAGGCGGGAGAGGAAGGGGAGGAGGCGGGAGAGGAGGGGGAGTGGAAGGAGTTGGAGGATGGGCAGTGGCCGCAGCCGAGCCAGCAGAGGAAGAGGAAGCATCGGAAAAGGCAAGAGCAGGAGCAGAAGGAGGAGGAGCAGCAGGCGGTGCTGTCGCTTGTGTTCAGAGCCGAGGTGCCTCCTCTGGGATACGCCACCTTCTTTGTCTCTCCAGCCACCCAAGGTGCACCTCTTACCCAGCGGACGCAGCAGAAGCAGCAACAGCTGCAGGCGGTGCCGTCACTAAAGTTCAGAGCGGTGGTTCTCCCCCTCGGATTAGGTAGCTTGTTTGTAATTGATGCTCCTGCAAGCCAGGGTATGGCTAGCACCAGATTTGCTGCTCGGCTGCTGGTGGAAGAACCAAGCTAGTGAGCAACATTCCACATTTCCTCATTCCCCCATTCCCCCATTCCCCCATTCCCCCATTCCCCCATCCCCCCATTCCCTGGATGCAGACATCCCAGGCGGGGCGCACATGAGTGAAGCAGGGAGCCACACGGCGCCTGGTGCTGCAGCAACACTGTGTGGCGCAGCAGGGGCCAAGGGCCAAGGCAGCACGCACGTGGACGCCATCTCTTCATGCCACCTCCCATCCCCCATTGCGCACTCCCCTGGCAGGCTGTACGCCAGTGCGCCATGGACGACTGCGGCGACTGGCACTGCAGCACAATGTGAGGCAGTGACCACCTCTCCTACCGTCCCCTGGTCCCCCATGCAGACACCCCAGGCCGGGCGCACGTGAGTGAGGCATGGAGCAATACGGCAGCCGGCACTACAGCAGCACGATCTGGGGCAGCGACGGCGCAGAAGAAACCGAGCAAGGCTGAGAGGGGGAGGAAGGCTAGAGGGCGGAGGATGGGCGGGAGTGGAGGAGTAGAGAGAGAGATGGGTGGTGGCGACACGGGAGGGAGGCAGCTCCAGGGTGGGGGGGGAACAGAGGAGGACAAGACGGGAGGTGGAGGAGGAGGGAGCGGGCAGGAGGGGGTTGACACCGTGGTGCTGGGAGGATGGCAGGGTGCCGGGGCCTCTGGTGGTGGCGGTGCTGCTGGTGCTTCGAGGGACAGTGGGAAGCAGGCGGCGTTGCGCGTCTCGTTCTCCAAGTCGGCTCTGGGCATGCAGCGGATGGAGCTGGTCTCTCCGAGTGCAAGTGGCTCAGGGGAGATTTCGGTGAGTGGAGTGACTGAAGTGAATGGTACGTGAAGCGACTAGGGTGCGGCTACCTGTTGCGCATCCCTTTCTCCAAGTCGGCTCTGGGAATGCAGCGGACGGAGTTGGCCTCCGGGGGTGCAAGTGGCTCAGACGAGCTCGTCGTGAGGGGTGTGGGTGGTGCGAGGGGTGTGAGCGGTGTGAGGTGTGTGGGTGGTGTGAGGGGTGCGAAGGCGGGGGGGGAGGGGTGGGGTGCGGAGTGCGAGGGGTGTGGGCGGTGTGGTGTGAGGGTTGTGACCGAAGAGAGTGATTGGATTGGAAGCTCCTCTGCTATCATCAGCCAGGAGCCATGGCAAGTTGGCAACTACCCTCCCTCATGGTGATACTTGCACCACATGGTTCACACACACACACACACACACACACACACACCATCAAGCACATGCCACTGCTTCTCACCCATGCCCGTGGGATGCGCAGAGCACACCCGCATTGCTACAAGCACACCCGCATTGCTACAAGCACACCCGCATTGCTACAAGCACACCCACATTGCTACAAGCACACCCGCATTGCTACAAGCACACCCGCATTGCTACAAGCACACCCGCATTGCTACAAGTAACCAGTTTCTCCGCTCTGGTGCCCCCATCCCATCCGCATCCCCTGCCACGTCATCCGCATGTGATGCCACGACAGCACATGTCGATGCCAGTGAACGCCACTATGATGGAGTACGCCTCATACAGTGGTGGTGCATACATCTTCGAGGCCTCCCAACCCGCCGAGCCCATCACCAAGCGTGGCTTCCAGGTCAGCCCACCGATCGCACTGACCAGGTCAGCCCAGTTCGCCTTGCTCTTAGTGTTGACAGTCACCGTGGCAGTCAACACCACTATGATGGAGTAGCCTCATGCAGTGGTGGCGCGTACATCCTCAACGCCTTGCACCGATGCCAGCCACAAGGTCCATACTGGGCCTTTGGCATGGGAGAAAGAGAGAAAAAGGGAGTGATTCTGGTTTCCACACGCCTCAGAAGCAGCCCTGCACGGGTGGAGAGGGAAAGGGGCTGACTGTTGTTCGGTCCATTTTTGAGACGCCTCATGTTCGGTCCGTGGTCGTTCAAGCATTTTCAGCGCCGCACATTCCTCCCTTTCTCACCTTCGCTGCTGCTGCTGCTGCTGACGTGGCATCAGGTGCCCATTCACATCCAGCGTGGACCAATCGTGGAGGAGTTCACTCGCAAGGTCACTCCGTGGATCTCAGAGGTGAGCTACCACTGACTCGAGCACTGCGAGGTGAGCTACCACTGACTCGAGCACTGCGAGGTGAGCTACCACTGACTCGAGCACTGTGAGGCGAGTGTGCAGTGCTGTTGTGCACCTTCTCACTCACTCCTCGTATGTACGGACTTCCACATTCAAGCTTCCACGTGTGCCTCCTCGACCACACTACGTCATCCCCGAGTCTGCTTTCCGGGTGCCTTAGAAGCGCTGCACTCCGGTGAATACAGCGCTGCTGCATTATGCTCATCATAGCTTACTCCGTCCACATCCTCCTACTCCACGTGTCGCCCCTTACTGCTCCCAACTCCCAGGTCTTCAGAGTGTATCCCGGACAAGACTATGCCGAGCTGCACTATTCGGTGAGTGCAGTGCACTACCAGATGTGTGCACTGCAGTGCCGTTCAGTTCAGTGCAGTGCATACCAAGTCGCCTCTAGAATGCAATGTGAAGTGAGAATGATGCGAATGAAGTGGGTGCGCAATAATGTGCGAATGGAGTGAGTATACAGGAGGAGAGTGAGCTGTTCACGTCTGCAAAGCAGAAAGACGCATCAAGTGATGCTTGTTGCCACGAGTCCAACCAGCAGATGGCGAAACAGTTGGCATGCCACAGGATGGAAACCACCCAATCGTCTCCCAATGCTCGACCTAATATTCTCGCGATGCGATTTTTGAGGCGCCTCAAAAATGGCACAGGATGGAAACCACCCAAGCATATCCCAATGCTCTACCGAATAGTCTCACGAAGCGTTAGCCCGCTTGACTTGAGTGATGTGTAGGCCATCCATTCATGCGCTGTAGGCCATCCATTCATGCGCTGTAGGCCATCCATTCATGCGCTGTAGGCCATCCATTCATGCGCTGTAGGCCATCCATTCATGCGCTGTAGGCCATCCATTCATGCGCTGTTTGTTCTTAATCACCTCATTTTGTCAATCGACGTGTTTGCCTCAGGTGGGCCCGCTCCCCGCCAAGGGCCGCAACCACGAGGTGATGGCTCGCTTCACTGCGCCCATCAACAGCAGCAGGACCTTCTATAGCGACTCCAACGGCAGGAGCTACATCAAACGGGTGAGTGAGAGTACGTGCATAGATATAAGTACATGCTGCAACCTCCTCTACGCACTACTCCTATCAGGAGCAACAGCAGCAAGACCTTACTCCGACTCCAACAGCAGGAGCTACAACAGGCGGGTGAGTGAGTGTGCATATAGATACATGCTGAGACCTCCTTAACACTCGCTTAGCTGCGCCCATCAACAGCAGCAGGGCCTTCCACTCCGACTCCAAATGCAGCAGCTGCATCAAACGGGTGAGAGGTCGCTAGCTATATCTGGTCCCTGGCTCCTTGCACACCTAAGGGACTGCTCCGTTGGATGCTGCCAGTGACAGCAGCAGGACCTTGTACTAGCGCTCCAATGGCAGCAGCTGCATCAAATGGTGAGCCTGCTCGCATACAAGCAATTGTTGGTGCCTGGAAAGAGGTGACTTTTGAGTCGACTCAAAAGTCAATTGTCGGTGCTTGGAAGGGGAACTCGCTCACAAATGATGGGTTACTGCTCCACCTCAATGAAGCAGCAGCAGCAGCAGACGGGTGGAGTTGTCTGCTACTGCAGCGCCAGTATGCCATCGAGGCGTATTGTCTGCCGGGTGTCCCTCGATGTTCCCTGCGTGCCTAAGAACCTTGTTTCAGTACCACACGCTCGTCTTCACAAGTCCCAAAACACCATCCCCACCATCCCAACCATCCCAACCATCCCAACCATCCCAACCATCCTCCCTACCACCCCACCTTCAGGTGGTGGACTACCGCTTGGATTGGAAGCTCCAAGTCAGCGACCCCATAGGAGGCAACTACTACCCGGTGAGTCAAGCAGAGTCAACCAGAGTCAGCCAGAGTCAACTAGAGCCATCTGGAGGCAACCAGAGCCAGAGTCAGCCAGAGTCAGCCAGAGTCAGCCAGAGTCAACCAGAGTCAGCTGCAGGGTCAACTGGGGCCAACCGGAGTCAACTGGATTGAACTTAGTCAAGCTGCGCTGAGGCTGAGGCTTGACTAGGTTGACATTGAAGTAGTACTTTGGCAAGCAGAGCAGAGTCAATGCACGTGATAAAAACGCCTTTCCTCTGTCTCCATCTGTCCTCTTCTGTCTTCGCTCCTCGTCCCTTCCCCTCTTTTCCCCACCAGCTCACAGTCGGAGCGTTCATAAAAGACAAAGCAGCCCAGCTGTCGGTGCTCGTGGATCGGGCGGCAGGTGCTGCCAGCCTGGCAGCCGGCCAGCTGGAGGTCATGCTGCACAGGTGAGAGCACTGTAGCATGGCACTGTAGCAATGCAGTGCAGCAATGTACTGCACTGTAGCACAGGTGATGGCATGATAGAATGGTGGCACCTTTCACCACAATCTCCAACCATTCTGTGCTGCAGAATGTGTTCGACAATTCTGTTCAACCATTCTGTCCAACCATTCTGTTCGACCATTCTGTTCAACCGTTGGTGTAACACGGCGTTGAAGAAGAATGTGCGAATGATGCCAGCTCTCTGACGACGGTGCTTGCAGTGCCACGCCACCATGGTGCAGGCATGAAGGGGTGGCTGTTTGTCTATTCTTGAGGCGCCTCAAAAATACACTGTGCAGGGATGGAGAGGAGAGTCTTTGGGTTGTTCGTTGCTCACAGCACTTAAAGCTGATGTGGTGCGGATCCAATCGAAGTGCCTCCCACCCACACGGCTCACAGTCCTATCCTGAGCCAAACGCTATGCCATCCTTGCTCCCCCGTCTTCCCCCGCACTCCACCAGGACCCTGAGATCGGGGGACGGCAAGGGTGTGGTGAATTGTGGGGTGGGGGTCTGTCCGTTTCACGTGACATCTGTTTTCATTCCGGTTTTAGTTTACTCGAGAACCATGCCCCTCTCCTCACCCCACCAGGGCCCTCCAGTCGCTGGACGGTAAGGGTGTGGGCGAGCCGCTACAAGAGAGCATTACCGTGGAGGGGAAGACTCGCCCACTCACGGTGAGTATGCGATTCGCGCGACCTTGAGATTCCATATTTTTCTAGAGCCTGCTTTGATTCCATGTCTTGCGGAGGAACCATTAGGAGAGAGCATTCCTGTGGGGGCAAGTCTTGCTCCCTCACATCGAGTATGCGATTCACCCCATCTCAACAACCCACCTCCCCATCAATCCCACCCTCCCCCTCGTCTCCTCCACCCATTTTCTCCCTCCAATCCCATTCAGCAGCAAACATCCCATCCCTCCTAGGCACTGGGTTACCTGCGCGTAGGGCTGCACCCCAACACGGACACCGAAGAGGCAGGGTAACAAGGGAGGGAAGGGGCAGAGAGAGGGTAACAGGCGAACAACCTTTCCCTTCATTCCACATGCCAATAACCATTACCCCACTCCCCTGCAGGTTGTGGGCGCCCTGCGCTTTGGGCTGCATGCTACGACGGACCCCAAAGAGGGAGGGAAGCAAGGGAAGGAAGGGGTGGGGTTGGGGCGGGGGAGTGAGTGGCGGAGGCAGCACGCCCAGCGGCTCATATCCCCTCTTCAGCTCGCCTTCGCTCTTCAGGTCAGCCCTTTCTCCATCCCTTGCCATCCCTTGCCCTCCCTTGCCCTCCCTTGCCCTCCCTTGCCCTCCCTTGCCCTCCCTTGCCCTCCCTTGCCCTCCCTTGCCCTCCCTTACCATCCCTTGCCCTCCCTTGCCCTCCCTTGCCCTCCCTTGCCCTCCCTTGCCCTCCCTTGCCCTCCCTTGCCCTCCCTTGCCCTCCCTTGCCCTCCCTTGCCCTCCCTTGCCCTCCCTTGCCATCCCTTGCCCTCCCTTGCCCTCCCTTGCCCTCCCTTGCCCTCCCTTGCCCTCCCTTGCCCTCCCTTGCCCTCCCTTGCCCTCCCTTGCCCTCCCTTGCCCTCCCTTGCCCTCCTTTGCCCTCCCTTGCCCTCCCTTGCCCTCCCCCCCTTGCCCTCCCTTGCCCTCCCTTGCCCTCCCTTGCCCTCCCTTGCCCTCCCTTGCCCTCCCTTGCCCTCCCTTGCCCTCCCTTGCCCTCCCTTGCCCTCCCTTGCCCTCCCTTGCCCTCCCTTGCCCTCCCTTGCCCTCCCTTGCCCTCCCTTGCCCTCCCTTGCCCTCCCTTGCCCTCCCTTGCCCTCCCTTGCCCTCCCTTGCCCTCCCTTGCCCTCCCTTGCCCTCCCTTGCCCTCCCTTGCCCTCCCTTGCCCTCCCTTGCCCTCCCTTGCCCTCCCTTGCCTCCCTTGCCCTCCCTTGCCCTCCCTTGCCCTCCCTTGCCTCCCTTGCCCTCCCTTGCCCTCCCTTGCCCTCCCTTGCCCTCCCTTGCCCTCCCTTGCCCTCCCTTGCCCTCCCTTGCCCTCCCTTGCCCTCCCTTGCCCTCCCTTGCCCTCCCTTGCCCTCCCTTGCCCTCCCTTGCCCTCCCTTGCCCTCCCTTGCCCTCCCTTGCCCTCCCTTGCCCTCCCTTGCCCTCCCTTGCCCTCCCTTGCCCTCCCTTGCCATCCCTTGCCCTCCCTTGCCCTCCCTTGCCCTCCCTTGCCCTCCCTTGCCCTCCCTTGCCCTCCCTTGCCATCCCTTGCCCTCCCTTGCCCTCCCTTGCCCTGCATAAAGCTCTCTGCCTTTCCATGCAAGAACAGCTGCCCTTGCTATGGAGATCCATCGGCTCCCTACTCCCGCTTCAACCCTCCATCCGCCCCAACCCCCTCTCTCCACCCCATCGCCTGCAGACACAGGAGTCCATCAAGGCAGCACAAGGCAGCTACACGTGGCACTATTCCCTCTCCCAACCATCCTCCACGTCACGCCCAACCAACCCTGACAGTGCTTTCTCCTACGCTGTCCCTCTGAACGTTGCAGTCATCTCGCTGCAGGTGAGATCAACCTGCTTGTCAGATCACATAGCTTGGCTACGTGTGTCGTCTACTCCGCCACTTTCTGCAATGCACTAGTCAATCATGTGTCAATCATGTGTCGTCTCCAGTAAAGCACGTCATGCTGGCTGCATTCGCCCCTTGTGTTGCCTCGTCACTTCTCATCCGCATCCCCAGCCTGCCGTCTCATGCGGCCGATCCCTGCCATCACATGCGGCCGATCCCTGCCATCATATGCGGCTGATCCCACAGTTTTCAATACCCCCGTAACCTTGCCTTCCCACCATCGCACACAGGACCTCTCACCCAGCGAGGTTGTTGTGATGTGAGACTGACCAATCATCGCGTGCTGTCACCACTCCCCCATCCCTCACTCCCTCACCATGTCTGCTCCTTCACACGCCCTCTCCCTCCCCACCATCACACGCAGGAGCTTTCACCCAGCGAGGTTGTTGTGAGACTTGCTCACCTCTATGAGGTGAGTCCCACACTCACATCCGCTCATTCACATCCCCTTCGCACTCACATCCCTTCCGCTCACATCCCCTCCCCACACACATCCCTTTCACCCCCTCCACGCTTACCACCCCGGCTCACTCACACCCTCTCCTCACACCCTCTCCTCACACCCTCTCCTCACACCCTCTCCTCACACCCTCTCCTCACTCACATGCACTCCACACTCTGCAAGCTGCCATCCAGAGCATTCCATAATGTCCCACTCTCCGCTTATTCATCCTGCCTCTCATCTCGCCTCTCCTGCTGCCGCTCATGCCCCATCTCGCCCACCTCATCTTGACATCCACTCAAGATTCCACTCAGGACCCCACCCGGGACCCCACTCTCAGGGCCCCACTCTCCTCTCCCTTTATCTCCGCCTCACTTCTCCTTTACCCTAATATCTACACTGATGCTGGCTACTACCTGAGGCGCCTCAACGCCCCGCGCCTCTCTCACCTGATCTGTGCCTCACTTGTCTCACACCCTGCTATCTTCTGCGCCTCCAGCCTGGGGAGCATGCTGCCTTGTCTCGCCCCGCCCATGTGGACCTTCGCCGCTTGTTTGCAGCGAGAAAGGTAGCTGGCCTGGTTACCCTACGTTCCCCCCTTCTCTCACACGCCCTTGTGTTTACCCCTTGACAAGTGCTTGTTTGCAACGGGACATGTTACTGGTTTTTCTGCCTTCTCCCCTGCTCTCACAACTTATCTTGCACACACCCCTTTATGCTTCGGCCACAGCTACTTGCTTAACTCGTCCTGTCAGAAAGCTGACCAGGGAACGTAGTCTACGGCTGGCATAAGAGCTGGCATGCTAGCCTGAAATGCTACGGTACTATCCAACCGAAGGGCTGGATGTTAGCCTGTCCACAATCATTGCCCATGAACACCCCCCACGAGCATACCCCCGATTGTTCCATCCCTGACTGCCACATCCCCACCCACCCCTAGCAGATTCAAGAGGTAGCAGAACTGAGTCTGATGGCCAATCAGAGACGAGCAGAAATGCGGCAACCTCTATCATGGCAAGTGCAGGTAGAAGATGAAGTTGGAAGAGAAGGTGATAGTAATAATTTTAAGGATACAGCCTCGACCCAAGGACCCTTTGTGGATCCTGCCACTCTTGTGGTGGAGTTAGGGCCTGCAGAAATCCGCACTTTTTCGATCAGGCTACAAGCTACTTGATTTCATAGTAGTGGATGGTAAAAATAAAGCTCCAAATAAAGTTTGCTGAAATTGTTCACTCGTTTGTCATAATCAATTCTTCATTATCTCACGCAATGGAGGCTTCCTTTTTAGCATCACGCAAAAGAGAACTCATAATGGAGGGACAACGTTGAAGGCATATGAAGTATATAATGAGCCTTCGTAGAACTCGTTTTCTTATCTGTAGCACCTGGCACTCGCACTGCTCGGAGGTCCCACTGTACTCAGAAAAGCACAATCCCCGATTCCCCAAAACTGACCTCGAGAGCACCTGTTCGCCACAAACACGCACACACGCGCACCATCAGGCTTGGTCGGAAACAAATATGGAGACACCACCTGCAGAGGGGATTCGGCTTCGGTAATTGTCAGCAACCAGTCTGCAAGTTCGTGACTGCCTAGAGACTAGTGACTTGCGGCGCGTCGTTGCGCTACCGGACCATGGGCGTCGCGGGCGCTGCGCGCGCGAACAAGTTCCCTCCCGGCGCTCCGTGCGCCATTCCCTCGCATCCTCGGCGCCTCAGACCAGCTCCTGCGTTTATCGATAGTAGGAGACTTTGGCGCAGATCGCCCTGAGTTCGTTATTGAGGTCGTGATTTGGATAATACGCGCCTTGAAGCGGAGCATACAGCATCATCGTTAGACAACGCCACGAGTCGAGTGCAAGACCACGTAAGACCGCATACGACTGCATAAGACCGCGTAGCACCACGTCCTTGCGCCCGACGAATTCCCAATCCTGGGCCAAGTATCCCTGAGCTCGTTTGCGGCGGTTTGCCTCCCTCCGCCTCGCTCCTCGGCTACCATCGATTGCTTCTAAACCTCCGTTCCCAGTCGACGCAGAAAACGCCACGAGGCGTGTTCGCTTTCCACGGTTTTCGTTTAGCCTCGAAGGCCTCCCATCTCCCCATAGCTCATCGAGTCGTCCGCCAAGTTACCTGGTTACCAGATTGCGCCGCAAGCTTCTCTGAGAGCTCCCCTTCGCCAGCTCCGTCCTTCGTGGCCTCCCCTCGCTTCACGATCTGCCCCCTCTTCACCCACCCTCACCCACCGTCACCCACCCTCACCCACCCTCACCCAACTCGCTGCAAGATACTGCTGCGAGATATTCTCACCTGCCTCTGCTGCAAGAGACTACCGCTAGCTGCATGTCTTCTCCGAGCTCGCACCTCCGCTGAGCCAATCCAATCCAACTAAAGACCTTTTCGCCCTCAGGTGCGTCGTAGGAGAAAATAATCAGGCACATGGCACATGGCACACGGAACATGGCACATGGCACATGGCACACGGCACATGGCACATGGCACACGGCACATGGCACATGGCACATGGCACATGGCACACGGCACACGGCACATGGCACATGGCACACGGCACATGGCACACGGCACACGGCACATGGCACATGGCACACGGCACATGGCACATGGCACATGGCACATGGCACACGGCACACGGCACATGGCACATGGCACACGGCACATGGCACATGGCACATGGCACATGGCACACGGCACATGGCACACGGCACATGGCACATGGCACACGGCACATGGCACATGGCACATGGCACACGGCACATGGCACACGGCACATGGGATTTCTCGAGTAAACCTTCAGCATCATGGCGGGGTATGCCTTTCTGTCGCTCTCACACACGCACACACACAAGCACTCCTCCCCCCTCCCCCAACCCCCCCCTCCCCCCTCTCCCCCTCCTCCTACCCCCCCCCCAACGCACGCACACGTATGCACTTCAATTCACGTGTGAAGGTCGTCTGAAGAGCGATGGCAGCGAGCAGCAGCGGCGTGGATGCTCTCGAGCGGAACCTGGTCGACTGCCAGCAGAGGAGGCAGCAGGCAGATGCTGGTACGTGGGGGGCCGAGGGGATAGGCAGGTAGCAGGCGGACGATTGGGTGGGTCAGGGAGGCGTCTAGTTTTGAGGCGCCTCAAAACTGGGTCAGGGAGGGGGTATGTTGAAGGAGAACAAGTAGGGGTGTTCTCAACTGACTGATCACCTGCCAGCAGAGAAGGAGGCAGGCGGACGATGGTAGGTGGACGGACGAGGGGGGATATAGGTGGAGGAAAGGCGGAGGTGGATCCACTTAAGGGGAACTGACTTGGTGTCAGCAAAGAAGGAAGCCGGCTGATGATGGTAGGTGGGCGGACGAGCAGGTGGGTGGGAGAGGGGTTGTCTCGAGGGAGAACAAAACAACAAGGGGCGTTCTCAATCGATCAAGAGTCAGCAGAGGAGGAAACAGGCAGGTGATGGTAGGGGATGGTCGAGGGGTGGTTGGGATAGGGGGTTTTGGTGTAGGAAGTCAGGAGAGGGAGTGCGGAACAACAAGCTTAAGAGTCTGTGTCCTTGCGCTTTCGTTAGTGTCATATTAGCTTAATAGTTATATGACTTGACAACACCTGAGTTGCTCACGCTCTTTCTTCTCTTCCGCCCACGCCTGTTTTCCAACCAGAGCTTACTCAGCTGCTTGCACAAGCCATCCAGCACCTGCACAGCCAGTCGTCTGAAGTCACGTCTCTGCATGAAATGCAGCTGAAGCCTCTCTTATTGTCGCCACCTTTCCACGCCCTCTTTCCCTCTCAGCGCTTACTCAGCTGCTCGCACAAGCCCTGCAGCAGCTGTGCAGCCAGTCAGCCGAAGCCACGTCACTGCGGGGAATGCTGGATGCGATGCGAGCAGTGAACGTGAAGCTGGCGGCACAGATCAAGGGATTTGAGAAGGCGGAAGCTAGAGTGAAGGAGCTTGAGGGGCTACTGGCGGCGAGAGCGAGGGAGCATGAGATGCTGGTTGCGCTGCAAGCAGTGAATGGGGAGCTGCTGGTGCGGGTCAAGGCGCTTGAGAAGGCGGAGGAGAGGCTGCAGGAAAACGCAAGGGAGGCGGGGGGTTTGAAGAGGAGGGTTAGGGAGTGTGAGAGTCTGCTGGGTGTGAGAACGAGGAGCCTAGAGGAACTAAGTGCCGAAGTGGAGAGATTCGAGGAGGCTGGGAAGGTGCAAGCGATGATGATGTTGGCGCAGGAGGCGAGGGTAAAGGAGTGTGAGGGTTTGCTGGAGGAAAGGGCGAGGGAAATAGAGAAACTGGTATTTGAAGTGGAGAAATGCAAGGAGGTTGGAAAGGTGGTAGCGAGGGAGCTGGATGCAAAGGAGGCGAGGGTAGAGGAGTGCGAGGGTTTGCTGGCGGAGAAGGCGAGGGAATTAGAGGGACTGAAAAGCGAAGTGGAGAAGTACAAGGAGGCTGGGAAGGTGCACGAGATAGGAATGGATGCTCAGAAGGCCAGGTTAAAGGAGTATGAAGGTTTGCTGGATGTGAGAACGAAGGAAGTAGAGAGATTGAAAACCGAAGTCGAGAAATTGCAAGAGCTTGGGAAGGTGCAAGCGACAGAAATGGATGCCAAGGAGGCGAGGTTGAAAGAGTATGAGGGTTTGCTGGAGGAGAGGGAGAGGGTTTTCAAGACACTGTACACCGAAGTGGAGGCTTATAAGGAGGATGGGAAGGTGCAAGCGAGAGAGATCGGTGTTATGGAGGCGAGGTTGAAAGAGTATGAGGGTTTGCTGGAGGAGAGAACGTGGGAATCTGAGAGATCGAAGATTGAAGCAGAGAAATACCAAGAGGTTGGGAAGGTGCAAGGGATAGAAATGGCGGCTAAAGAGGCGAGGTTAAAAGAGTGCGAGAGTTTGCTGGAGGAGAGGGCGAGGGAAATAGAGAGACTGGACACCGAAGTGGAGAAGTACGAGGCTGGGAAGACGCAAGCGATAGAAATTGATATGATTGATAAGGAGGCGAGGTTGAGAGAGTGTGATAGTTTGCTGGATGTGAGAACAAGGGAATTGGAGGAGTTGGAAGTGGAGCTGAGGGGATGTGAGAGACAGCTTGAGAATCTGCAAGGGGCAGCAGAGGAGGCTGAGGTGATGGAGGCGAGGGCTAGAGTTTATAAACACCTTCTGGAGGAGAGGGCGGAGGAATTTCAGAATCTGAACGCCCGAGTGAAGGGGTATGAGGAGGGGGTTGAGAAGCTGCAAGCGGGAGCAAGGGAGGCTGAGAATGTGAAGAAGCAGGATGCGGAGTGGCAAGATCGGTTGAAGCGGCTGAGCAGGGAGGTGGTGCAACTGCAGCGGCGGGTGAAGGAGCCTGGATGGCTGGTGAAGAAAGTGAAGGATGTGGGCACGGAGATTGAGGAGGTGAGGGGGGTGGGGGGAAGGTGGGGGGAATTGGGGGGGGAGAGGGGGGGAGAGAAGGGAGGGTAAATGGGGATGATATGATGCCATGCGGGATATTGCTGTGAGGAGGGTGAAGCAGCCGGGGTGGCTGGTGAGGAAACGGAAGGATGTGGGCAAGGAACTTGAGGAGGAGAGGGGGATGGGGTGGGGGGCAGTGGGCGGGGGCGTTGGGGGGGTTTCGGGCAGAGGGAATGTAGACGAGGATGTAATGAGAAAGAACGCATTAAGCAACTGCGAGCATGTGTGTGGATGCTTGTAAAAAGGTGTGTGTATGTTGTGTGTTCAAGCAAGCATCTATGTGCATGTGTATGCATGTGTGTGCATGCATGTGTATGCATGTAGGCAAGTACGTGCATGTTCCATGCAAGGGCATGCATTTACTTTGAGATAATCTCTTGAATGTCGTGTTCGTTCAGAAGGGAAACCCTTGTTCTTAAGAAATAATTCGGCATGTAACGCAATCATTGCAGATGACGCAGCAGCGGAATGGGTTGCGGCAGCAGCTGAGGAACACCCAAGAGCACAGGGGGAGGTTGCGGCAACAACTGATGGAAATTCAAGATAAGTCCCTCAAGGCGAGTCAGTAAAACCGCACAGTCCTTGCGATCTCGTCTCCTGCTGGTTTCTTCCTTCCTCTTTTTCTCTCCCTCCCATCTTCCCTAACATTTCAAGATCATTTTAATCTCTCCTTTCTTTCACTCCTGTGCCCCTCAGGTGCTGCGTGACTGCTTGGGAGATCTCAGCAGAGTGCCAGCAGAGGGAGTCCCGCAGCTAGTGAGCGCCATCAGCAGCCACATACAGCCGGTGCTGGAGCAGGAGGAGGAGGACTTGGTGGAAGTCAACCCAGAGCCCAAGCTAGGGGAGGTCATGAGGCTGCTGGGTGACACCATCCGGGCACTGCTTGCTGCAGCTATCAGGAGATGAGGTAGACACGACAGTCGCTGAATGGGAACTCTTTTGCAACCACGTTACTTTCTTGAGATTGTTCACTCCAACCCTACCATGCGTGACGACATGCATGCAGTGGATCTTTTGTAGTGCAGGCACCTTCCTTATGTACATAAAGCATTCTACAACAATGCAATTTCACAATCCTATGGGACTATAAGTGTGAGAGTACGACCCCGTTCCATTCCTTTCTCCTTTCCATATTCCCTTTCCATTTCATTCCTCTTTTTATCCTGATTCATTTGGTCTTTATCTCATTCCATTTGGATTCCTATTCCTCCTTTTCCATAAACCTTTGGTTTATCCTGCTATTATCATTATATCACCGACCAGGCTCGGAGTGTACTGGCGCGCTATATCTAGCGTAATCCTGCCGTAATCCCTTAAAGCCAATAGCCTCGCGTGGCTATACTCAGGGTGATTCTATTTTCTAGAAGGGTCTAATCCCTTGGGATAGGATAGACCTGGTTACCAGGCCTGTCGTTATCAGGGTATTTTACCCTGATTCCCTGATTTCACAGGGTATTTTTTTGGCCAACCCTTAATTTTCAGGGTTGGGCTTTTTTGAACCCTAACCTCTTCAGGGTTGTATGTCTGTGAACACTGAGAATTTCAGGGTTTGCGTTATCCCAACACTGAGTTTTCAGGGAGTAACGCGTACGAACCCTGAGTGCGACATCCATGTGGCTCACAATGCGGAAATTTAGGCGAAGTCCCCAATCTCCAGAGACATTCCCCCCCACACGCAACAACCTACAAAAATTGGTGAAGTCCTCAAACATTCCCTCACACACCAAGCAACCCACAAAAATCGGCTAAGTCATGTGTCGTACAGACATCCCCCCTACACACTAACAACAACCCACAAAAATTAGCTAAGTCTATGAAAATGTAACGGTCAAGATCGATTGCGATCGTTTCGACATACTTAAACCGTTAGATGGTCACGTTGATCAACGTCCAAGATCTCCCAGCCGGGGCGCTGCTAGGGCGCGAATTTTCTCCGACCGCCCTATTACCCAGCTTCCCCCCTCCAATCCACTTCGATTCCTCCCTCCCCTCCATTTTCGCTCCCCCCACTCCCCCTCCGTTTCGTTTCCCCCCTCCCCTCCATTTCGATTCCCCCATCTCCCCTCCGTTTCGCCCCTCGCATCTTGGTTTTGATTCCCTCCCCCTTTCTTCCTTGGTTTCGACTCCCCCTCCCCTCCGTTTCGATCCCCCCTTCCCCTCCGTTTCGATCCCCCTTCCCCTCCGTTTCGATCCCCCCTTCCCCTCCGTTTCGATCCCCCCTTCCCCTCCGTTTCGATCCCCCTTCCCCTCCGTTTCGATCCCCCCTTCCCCTCCGTTTCGATCCCCCCTTCCCCTCCGTTTTGATCCCCCTTCCCCTCCGTTTCGATCCCCCCTTCCCCTCCGTTTCGCTTCTCCCATTCCTCGACTGTATTTCGAACTTCCCCCACCCCCCAACCCCCACTTTTTCCCTCCCCGTTTCGCTTCTTCTCTTCCCCTATGTTTCCATCCTCCCCCTTCCCCTCCGTTTCGCTCTCCCCCTCCCCTCGGTTTGATTCCCTCCCCTTTTTCCCCCCATTTTTAAATCCCCCCTCGTGTTGAAGGCAACCCTGAACGCGCTCGGTGAACCCTGGGATTTTCAGGGTTCCAGATTTCTGAACCCTTACAAATCAGGGTAGGCAATTTTTTAAACCTGAGCCCTCAGGGTAAACGTTTTTTTTTATTCGACAGCTCAGGGGGGGTTTTTTTGAAACGTCAGCCCTGCTGGTTACCTGATGTACCTTGGAAGTATAAAAGCGCCTTGTATCAATCGATAGTGCAACCTTTCCTCGACACATTCGATCCTGTGACAATAAGTATGCGAACATATGACTGTTGAGACTAGAGAGAATGAATAGAAGAAGGGAGAACAGGGGAGATATAGCGTTTGGGCTGTACCCACTAAGAACATACCATATCTAGCCAATAACTTCTACATAAAAATATATGTATAAGTTGACAATGACAACTGATCCATTTCCTTTGAGCTTGTGGCACAGGTCAGGTACCTAGCTGCAATTTGGGATTGTGAGGCCAAGATTTCATGTATCACATACGGGAAAAAAATATCATATCCCAATGTGAGTGCGCCACACCACATACAAGACCCCCTGCACCAAAATGCGAACAGAATCCCGCTCACCTTCGAGAACAGCAGCAGCTCGCTTGGCCCTTGGGTTGACAAGCTGAAACCGATAAGGATTGGGATAAAGACAAACGAATATGATTGTATGGTTGAATAGGATAAGAGTGCAATACCGGTAATAGAACTGTAGCACATATAAATGGGATTATAATGTGCTAGTGAAGAAATAGAGGAAAGGTACTCAAGTGAGTAAAAGGGGACTTGACGAGGGTGAGATGCTTGTGAAGAAGAGTGAGAGACTTACCGTATTCCCCCATATGAAACACCCTATGGTGTTAATAAAAATGCAGCGAAATTTTGGGCTGGGTGTGATTAAAGGCAAAAAAAAATAACACCCAAGAGTTATGGAATGTGCATATGCATTTTTTAATTGGAATTCAAGTGTGCATTTATCACCACCTTCATTTGAGTCAGATACCCACTTTTGGACATCTCATTGCATACCGGACGATATTGCCCATCTGCATGCCACATTGGCACTGAGTGTGCAGTGTCGGAGAGGATGCTGTTAGAACAACCAATCAGTTCACATTTGATTTGGCGGGACGCGCGAAAGTCGAGTACAGTATGAAACTTTCAGGTTTCAATGTTCTCGGTGTTTTTGTTTTCGTTCGGGCAGATTCGACTCCTACCTTAATATCCGCGTTGCTATGGCCACGAGCTCGTTTGCCCCACTTGCTTTGACGTGCATACGGTTGCCCCAGCAGGAGTGGAAAAAATGAATGGCAGCACACATCTACACACCGCAAAATTCGGGTGTTTCCTGCCAAAAATGGAGATTCTAGGTGGCAGGGGGGTGTTCAAAAGTTTTCACGTCAGACAGTAGGGTGTTTTGTACAGTATATCTAGAAAAATTAAACACCCATACCCGCTCAAGCTACCCGGGGGAACGTAATTCCGGCGGGTGTTTTATATGGGGGAATACGGTACTTATGTGTGTCTTACAAAGTAGAGGAGATGTAGAATCTCATGAGTGGTTCTTGATACAGGAGGACTCGCACTCGGGCTTGAGCTTGGGAGAAGACCACAAGCTTGAGAGGGGACCACAATCTTTGATGTGGTTGAAGGAGAGAGGGCCTTGTACGTGAAGAGTGAAGATGCCACAAGGTTGAGTGTTGAAGAGGAGAGTCTTCCTACAAACTTGTGGCTTGGTAATGCACCTTATACTCAAGTTGGGTATAAGACGTATTAGTGCTTGATTACTTGCTACACGAGGAACTTTGAGAGATAACTTTGAGAGCATAAACTTATATGAAAGAGGGTATAGTACAAGCCTTGTAATCCATGGTGGATACAAGGACATGCATGAGAGAGAGACCACTCATAGTAGTCTAGGAAGATAGATAGCATGATAATACCATATTTTTTAGACATAGAACAAGAATGCTAGCAAGGAGCCTTAGTAGTGGTGTGAACTTGAGGAGCTTGAAGGAGACTTGAAGGGTAGCTTGAAGGAGAAGAGCTTGGAGATGCCTTGTTGGACTTTGAGAAACTACTTGAGAAGTTGGAGAGGATTCTTGGTGAAGATGAATAGTAGCGGAGCATGTGATGGTTGTTGAGCCTTTGGTGACTTGGAGTTATAGACCAAGTGGTGTTGGAGAAAACTTGGATGAGTTGGAAAGGAAGGAAAGGAGGAGAAATAAAAGCTTTGTTGAGTTGGAAGGTGGGGAATGTAAGGAATCATGAGAGTATTGTGTGATGTGGCAACTTGGATGACTTGGGATAGGAAGGAAGGAATGAATAAATAAAAGGCATGTGGAGGTTGATGAGTGGGAAAGAGAGGAATGTGCTTGAGGCACATGTGAGGAGGATTATTGGTTGGAGTAGATGATTTGGAGAATTCTTGATGAGGATGAGTAGGAAGAAAGAGCACATCGAAAGAGTCATGTGCCTTGAGATGGGAGTTGTAAATGAATAGGAGGATTTATTGGAAGCTTGGTTGAGGTGGACTAGGAATGATTATGGGAGCTGGGGAAAATTAAGGAGTAGTTGGGAGGCCTTAGGTTGGAGGAGATGAGCTGGAAAAATTGGGTTGGAAATTTGGTAGGTAGAGTAGGTTTGGTTGGTGGGAAATGGGTTGGGGTAGGTGAAGAATTGTAACGAGCGGTTTTGGAGGGGAAGGGGTTGTAGTGGCGAGAAAAATGTGGCCCGCGCATCACGTGCCACTCACAACACCCCCCCTCACTGCAAGCCCATACTCTCCAATCGGTAAAGTTGCAACTGCTGCAACTGCTTCATGTGTTGGTGTGTCAAATCTGCATCATGTATGCTGCTGCAATGAGTCCTGCCTGAACTCGGTTGTTGATGAAGGTGTCACGAGCGACCACCTTGGTGAGGAAGTCTGCCGCTTGCTCACTTATGCAGCAGAAGAGAGGCTCAACGAATTTCTCCTCCACTAGCTCCCAAAAGTAGTGGTACTGCGTGTCAATGTGCTTGATTCTCCCATGGAAAACTTGATTCTTGGTGAGAGTGGTTGCAGATGTGATGTCGATGAAGAGGGGAGTAGGATTTTCCTGTGGGAGGTAAAGCTTCTTCAAGAGACCTCTTATCCATACTACTTCTCGGGATCCTTGTGTCACAGACATGTACTCTGCTTCTGTAGATGATAGTGCCACACAGCCTTGCTTCTTCGAATGCCAGGAGATGGCCGCTCCTCCAAGCATGAAGATGTATCCTCCAGTGGACCTGCGGGTGGTGACATCCCCAGCCCAGTTTGCATCTGTGAAGCCATACAACATGCATGCATCCTCAGACCCTTGAAAGAGGAGACCAAAGGAAGAGGTTGCGTTGAGATAACGCAGGGCACGATGTGCCCATGCTGATGCATGCGTGTGGGAGATGCCATGCATCGAGAGAGCATGGCAACAGTATGAGCAAGATCAGGACGGGTGCAAATGGAGGCGTACATAAGGCTGCCCACTTGGCTCTGGTAGAGGGAGAGCTTAAGGGGCGTGACTTGGCTTGTGGTTTGTGAGGCATAGGTGTCATGACCGATATGCTCAAAAAGCTCGAAATCCTCAAGCTCACCCTCATGCTCTATGACCTTACTCTCAAGCTCAGATGGATCAATGCTTTGCTCTGATGATCTCAGCGGGAAGTCGGATGGAAGGGGTGTCTCGACAGGGTTGCAGTCGAGGAGACCAAACCTTGAGAAAACCTTCTCAGTATACCCCTGTTGTGCGATGAAGAGGGACTTGGATGGGCGATCTCTCACAATGTTCATACCAA